ACCGCCCGCGTCCAGAGCCTCGCCTCCACCCCCAACGATGCCTTCAGCAGTGCACTGGCATCTCCTGCGCTGCTGCGGCCTCAGCGGCAATGGAACGGTGCCTGGGCCGCAATGCGGGTCAGACAGGTACACTGACATCACCTTTTCTTTGCTTTCTTATCACCTTCCCAGGCCCCAGATGAAACTGCGCACAACGCAGGCTCTAGCAAAGACCACTGTGAGGACGACTGGAGAGGCAGGCCCAGGGCCTTGGGAGCTCAGTATTCACAGCCATGACCTGGTGTTATTCCCACACACATGCACGTAGTAAGACAAGCATGGCTTCTAAAGCACACCAGCTCTCTGCAGGCAGGTCCTGTGGCAGTGGAAAGACACACCAACATAACGGAATGGGTTCTCACTGGCAAGTGGCCTTTTGTAGACGAGTACGTTCCTACAGGGTTTAAAATAAAAAGATCAAAGATCATACTTCCTACTCATTCATTTCTTTCACTTCCATGCTTCAATCTGCTTTTTTGCAGGTTTGGAAACAGTAATTTGTTGCTGTCATTTGAGAGGGAATATTGTATTTTTAAAATTTGTCTTAGGGAGGGTTTGGCAAAGCTTTTCTGTAAAGAACCAAATAGTAAGTATTTTAGGGCCACAGGTCTCTATCACAGCTACTTCTGTGCTGAGGAAGGTGAGAGCAGCCACGGACAACAGGCACTAAGTGGGTGTGGCTGGTGCCAATAAAACAGTTTCTAAAATAGCCCCTTGGCCTTCCTGTGCCAACTCCAGGTCTATTCCTCACTCTTTTTTAAAATTTATTTATTTTTTATCCTCACCTGAAGCTACTTTTTTCGTTGATTTTAGATAGAGTGGAAGGGGGGAGAGGGAGAAAGGCGGAGAGAGATGAGACACACTGATTGTCTTCTGCACCTTCCCCAACCAGGCCAGGGAACAAACCTGCAACCTAGGTACATGCCCTTGACTGGGAATCGAACCTTTGACCCTTTGGTGTGCGGGCCGATGCTCTAACCACCGAGCAACACCGACCAGGGCTCCTTCCCCCATCTTGCCAGTTTCTCACCACGATTACATGTTTCTTTCATTTAATTTTTGAACATATATCACACCCTGCAAATGACCACTGACTTTTAAATGTTTGATTTATATATGTCAAAACTTAATTTTCTTCTAGTTTTTATTAAGGTCCTAATAAACACTATTTTTCTTCAGGATAACTTTTTTCCCCCTCAGACAGCAAATTGAGAGGAATGCACATAGCATACAAATTGTAAAAGAACTAATTAAAAACGATCCGTGGGTCTAGTCAAGCTATTTAAAATGTCTTGACTACTTTACTAATTCATGAATTGAGTTACAACTTAAATAGAAAACCAAAATTGAGCTATGTGCTTCAATGCCATTACTTCTTACGTAGACATTCCTGTTCAAGACAAATAAGTTAAGGTGTCTGGATGGCTCAGGCGGCATGTGCACAACACACCTGGGCCGGGCATGCACAGGCCAAAGTGGGCTCCAGAGAACTGGCGAGGAGATAGGACAGAATCATGACATTTCAGAACTGGACGTGTCCTATGGAATCATCTGTTCACCCTCACTGCGTTATGGTTGATGAGTGTGGCCGTCCTCTGATTTTTCTTTCCCAGAATACACTGCTTCTCCTATTAGCTCTCCAGTTCTCCTGGCGGACCCCCTCGGCCCTGTGCTCAGCGCTGAGAGCTAGATGAGGCTGGCTGTGTCCTCGGGTCAACATTGAACCAGACGGACTCACCAGAGCCTGTAACTCACCAGGACTGGCTGAGAGACAGGGTCCTGACCCACATCAGCATCTCCATTCTGGGGTTTCTTAGAGTCACCAGGAGAGAAGCTTCCTCTCTCGTTCTTCCTCCCACTCTTTCTGTTTCTTTAATTCTCTTTCTTTTTTCGTTCTCTCCCGGCACCCCCTGTCCTCTTTTAGGGATGCTGAGGGATGCTGAGTTTGACAAAATGTATGTGGGATGGCAGCCATTCTGCCACCTCGGGAAATGACCTGCCTGAGAATGAAGCCACAGAGAAAAGCTGGCCTGAGACGCAGGGTCCAAGTTCTGAGGGCGTGAGCCTCTGGACGCAGCCTTAACTACAACCAGAAACCTGTCTCTGTACTCACAGGAGCAAAACAGGTCCTCCTCTTCTTCTTAAGCTTGACGTGGGTTTTTGTCCTTACAAAAAGCGTCTGGAGAATAGGTTGACTCAAATAAGTGAACCTTTCACATCCTCTAAATGTGGTACTTGTTCTAGGAGACTGACATGGGAGACTAGCAAGTCTGGTCCAATCCTACATGCAGAGCAGTTCAGGTAAAATGTGTGTGCTGCCCTGTAAGTTTCCTGGGCTGCAAGTAAGCTTAGATCGTCACCCTGTTTCATGGGTATTCCTGCTGAGGACATAACCAACTTTAAGAAAATATTGATCAGATTGAAAGGAAATACTTTGCATATTTGCATGTAGTACAGGTGAGAGGGAGACTTGGAGGGGATGCGAGGTCAGCAGCAGCACAGGGCACTGGAGTGGGTAATGCAGAGGCCTTCGGGTCTGCCACCAACACACTGCCCCTGGCTCCACTCTGATCCCAGCCAGGAGAGCTGGGCCTACACACCCCAGCATTCATCCTACAAACAGTTACAGAATCCACACTTGTGGTCAGCACCAGGGACAGATTTGAGCAACACAAACTCAGACACTTGGAGCTTTCAAGAAAAAAACAACAACACTGAATCCTGATCACACCTCTGTGGTAAAATAAAAGGGGCTGGCTATTTGCTCATTATTAACCCTCTTACAAAATGATCACATAAGTCAATTCCCTTACCACCCCCTCGAAACTGGATTAGAAACATCGAGACACATGTGTTGTGAACACAAGTCTTTACAAAGAGCAAAACACTCGAATATGATGATTTTTTGCCTAATTGGCAAAATATATATTATTTCTTTTACCATACTAACTAGTTGTTTAAACTATCAAAACTCAAAACACACCAAAAAAGGCATAATTGGTATTTTTCACTTATTACAAAATAATAATAATAAAAAAACATGGCAAACATGGAGCTATAACATGACTTGTCAACTTGTCGCCATGTGGAACAAATGAGAACTGGGAAGCAACAAACAAAAAAGTCTGGTCTGCTACACGTTTATATGTTGAGGGAAAACTGTTACCACTGGCAACTGAACCTCATTAGACGAGAGTTTATGTCGCCGATTTCCTGTAGCATTTTGCAGACTGAGGTCACATTTTAACCTGTTAAACGTCTGTGACACTTCTGGTTTGTATATAACTTTTATTCCTTCATTGAATAATCTCCTAACAGAAATGGTTGCTGCTGAAGTTGAGTGAAACTGGACTAATCCTGGGACCATCCTATCTAATAAAAGAGAAACATGGTAATTAGCCGTAACTTCGCTACCCTTCCCATTGGCTAATCAGGGTGATATGCAAATTAACTGCCAGCCAAGATGGCGGCCGGCAGCCAGGCAGCTGGAAGCGAACATGAGGCTTGCTTGCTTCAGTGAAGGAGGACTCCAACGTTCCCCGCCTGCCTTGCCGGCCTCTGAGCTGGCAGTTTGAAACATTGTAACAAATATAGAAGCTAAACAAAACCCCAGAAACCAGCTTTCAGCCGGCCAGGATCTCAGAGCTGGAGATGATACAGTGTTTCGATTATAGAACCGAAACAAACCAGATACCTGCTTTCAGCAGCAGAGGCCTTGGCCCAGAATAAAAAAAGAAAAAAGAAAAAAAGGAGAGGTTGGGAGCTTCAGTCAACCGCCAGCCTGAAAGCAGC